TGTTCGCTAAGATTTCCGATATTCTCGAAGTGCTATCGAGAGGGGTGCACATGGCAGGACATGAGCGAAGTGCAATATCCGTGGCCACTGTGCTTACAGGCTTTCGCTAAAGGAGACCCTGGCAAGACCATAGCGGCCCTTGAGCTACTGGCGACACTGGTAGGTGTCCGGTTATGGGTTCCTTTTGGGGAAGCTAAGAAGGCTTCCCGGGTGGCCATCAATAGCTACTGAAACAAGGCTATGACGACGAAGTTCCCTTCGACGCTAGTCCTGATAAAATTGGCGGACGAACTGTCAGCTAAGAACTGTGAGCTGCAGCTCCAGTGGATCCGCAGGGACCTGAATCAGCTAGCGGACGATCTCACAAATGGGAGTTTTGCTAGCCCTGATGAAATCGGACTACCACCGCAACGAAGATCACGCATAGGCCCAGGTGCGTGGTCAGGTATCAGGGTGTTCCTGCTGCATGTTAAGTGTTGCATGTTGTTGCTCGTTCATGTGGGCGTCATTCTACTTCTTGGAGTGTCCACACATTGCCGCAGCAGCCCACGGTAGACGTAATGGGGGTGTTAACCAAAGGTGGTACGGTCCCTACTCCGGTAGGTCCCACCGGAGGTTGCACCCCTGAAAGGGTAGTCGGCCTGGCAAGCTGGCTACCCTTCTTTTCTCTTGCCCAAGACCGCGAAAGAAAACTACGACCTTGCCAACTTGTACGCGATCAGCCAATAATGAAGGCGGTTGGCAACCGCCTGATTACCAAGCGTTCAAGGAGGCATATAACACGACTAAGGTGGGGAGCCGTCAATGTCCGTACTATGCAAACCAAAATCCATAATGTTGGAGGGGAACTATGTTTCGAGGGAGCCGAACCTACTAAGCCTTATGCGACTTGCGACCTGCTTGCTGAGCATGATATCTCGCTCTGTGCTATGTCGGAACTGCGATGGAAAGGACAAGGAACTTTGTCTGTTGGTGATTATTTGTATCTTTTCTCTGGGCTACCAGAAGAAGCTCCAGTGTCTTTGTATGGAGTAGCCATAGCTCTTAATCCGGCTATGCAGAAGGCATGGAAAGCAGCTGGATCCCATGTGTCATATTGCAGTGAGAGACTGCTGAAAATCAAACTCCGTCTAGAAGATAGGATTTTTCATGTTATTTCGGTCTATGCGCCTACATTCCGAGCATCAGAGACCGAGAAAGAATCTTTTTATGCTCAGTTGGCTGAGTTAACAGGTCAGTGCAAATCTAATGAGGAACTCGTTATTATGGGAGACTTCAATGCTAGAGTGGGTAATCGGGGTAATGGACACCTTCTTTCAACACAGCACGTATGGTACATGGCAACACAACCGCACCAAACAATGGCACCATATCGATCATGTCATTACATCTGCAAAAACGGCTGCCATGTGTATGGACGTGAAAGTTATGACTGGTTTAGACTTTGATAGCGACCATCGTATGCTACGACTTGATCTACGCGCAGACATGCCCGAGTCACATAGGCGTGTTCCGGCGTTAAATGTTTCTCGCTTAAACGACCCGGAGGTAGTAGCTGCGTTCAATGAAAAGTTCGCTGATTTGATTGGCGATGGGCTTACGGACGAGTATGAGTTATGGTCACATGGATTGCGCAGATGCGCGGAAGCTACGGTAGGTCTATTAAGTACCGTTAAAAGGCCCCAATGGCAGGTGGATAACTCAACTGAACTTGCTAAACCGTCCAAAATCAAGCGGGACGCCTATGCCTGTAAGGACGATAGCTCGAAGGCTCTTCAGAAATACAAGGCGATATGTAAAGACAACAAAAGGAAAGTAGGTGCAATATTAAACCGATGGTGGTTTAACACAGCGGACGAGATCCAGCAAGCGGTTAGTAGAAAAGATCCGAATCATCAATACCAGGGCTATAAGACTTTGAGGAAGGTTTTTAGCGACGGGAGAAGGCCACCTGCCAAGATAAAAGATAAAAAGGGAAAACTGCTGGAATCTCGACCAGAAAGGGTAACGCGGTGGCAGGCACACTTTCGCGAATTACTTAACGTGGACATGTCTGTTGCTCCCAGTGTGGTGGACGAATTACAGTCGATACCAACAGATTCTGGATTAGCAGAAGTGCCACTGTTTGCGGAGACGTTGGCTGCGGTACATAGTTTAAAACGAGGTAAAGCTACAGGCCCTGACGGCATCCCTGCGGAAGTGCTGTCTGTTCTGTCACATGCAGCAATTAGATCGTTGCACGAGCACATTTGTCAGATTTGGATGGGTTGTGGAGATGTTCCTTCGGAATGGCACGATGCGTATCTAATCCCACTCCCAAAAACGGGTGACCTCACTCTGTGTTCCAAATGGAGGGGAATACTACTTACGTCGGTTCCTGGCAAAGTGTTTTCCAAAATCCTCAACGGACGGTTGGTGCGACATTTTGAAAGCCAGCAGGTCCTGCCGGACACACAATGTGGTTTTCGAGCTGGAAGGGGCACGGCAGATATGATTTTCACACTTCGAATGGCGAAAGAACTTGCCAGGGCAAAACACATTCCCCTATATCTTCTTTTTGTTGATCTTATGAAGGCGTATGATTCTGTTTCCCGTACGGGCCTGTGGGCTGTATTGAAATGTAAAGGTGTTCCCGAACACATGATCTCCTTGATTCGACGCTTTTATGAGGGAAAGGTGGTTCGAGTGGCTGTGGAAGGCACCTTGTCAGATTCTTTTGAACTTTCCACCGGTCTGGGACAAGGATGTTGTCTTGCTCCACTTTTGTTCAATGTTTTTCTCTCTGCGGTTATGGAAGGATGGGAAAATAAAATCCCGGATAAGCTACGGTTTCAATATCGTCTTGCTGGAATACTACGACGTCATATGGATGAAACGTCATTAAACAAGTAAACAACTTGGGAGTCATTACAATTGCACGAGCTAGGATACGCGGATGATGCTGCTTTTATTACTGACACGTATGATAAGCTGGCCACACTAGCTTGCGATTTACAAGAACATTATCTATCGTGGGGCTTGACTATGTCAGTTGAAAAGACGGAGCTATTGCTAACTGAGGGCGTTGATCCGCCGTTAGTGTCGGTCCAGGAAACGGATGGCTTTTCCAAGCTGAGCTTCTGTCAAAAACTTCAATTACCTGGGTTCAAAAATTGAAAAAAGACAGGGATGTGTCCAAGAAATTACTTATCGAATTGACAAAGCCAGGAAAGCCTTTTGGAGTCTGACGCGACAGGTTTGGGATGTGAAACAATTGTCTCTAGCTGTCAAACTACAGGTATATCGCGCATGCGTGCTTTCTGTGCTGCTATATGGTGCTGAGTCGTGGACTACAACCTTTGTGTGTCGACGCAAACTGGAGACTTTCCATATGAAGTGTTTGCGGAAAATTTCGAACATTTCTATTCTGGACCAGGAACAAATGCATTTAAATAATGGTGCTCTTCGTGCATTCCTAGGCGTCCCAATTATCAGATGCTTAGTCACACAGGCACGATTAAGGTGGTTAGGTCATCTTGCTCGCATGCCGGCAGAGAGACTTCCGAAACAAATGTTGTTCGCATTCTTGCCGGGAGATGTCGGTAGGCCTACGAAACCAGGACGTCGTACAGGAAAATGGTTGTCCTTTGATTTGGTAAATGACCTGGAGACTGCAGGGGTACCTAAGGCGGAATGGATGCACTTTGCGCTCAAGAATCATGGACATGACTGGCGCAAAATCGTCTATCAAGCGGCCCCTTGGTTTCTTCCACAGGCACCTACACCAAACCGCTCCCCGCCAGTACGTGACTCCAGCACAACCAGGCCGCTTCGACCACATAAACCCAAGAAGCCTTTCTGGCCGGTAGTTGATAACATACACGTTGAGCTTGTCCATTCTACGCCGGTATCAGGGTTTTTGCAGGCTGAGATTTCCAGGGGTGGCGAAAAGGCTCTAAGGGAAAAAGTAATTCAGTGGTTTGATGCACATGTTGATGGGGGCTGGTGGCTTGTAGATGCTCAGACCATGTTACATGAACTCATGGAGGATGAGGAGTGGCTGTCCTATGCAAGGCAAGATATTGATTTGGGTCTTTTTCTGGGCGCTGTTCGCACGATTCAGAACATGAAAGCAAGTGCACCTCCACCGCCGCCTCCACCTGACCCCGCACCGCAGCCCAGACCAGCCCGCACCAAATTGAAATGGAAACAACCAACACCTGCGTGTTATGCCGATTCCACATGCGCAGCTCCCGCGGCGCCACAGCGTGATGCCGTTGCCCTGCTCGTTGAAGCCCCAACTGTAGGGATGCGTACTCCTAAGTCCAGGCAAGAGGTCTCTACAATTATCCATGCTGAAGGGGATTTCAAATGTGCCATTTGTAATCGTGTGTTTCCTACGAAACTAGGATTGATGTCACATATCCAGGCCACACATACGGAAGGTACTTTTAGGGAAGCAGGCTTTCAGTGTGTTCTTTGTCCGAGACTCTTCGCGAGACAAAACAAGCTGACTCACCATTACAACCGGGACCATGTACCGAATTCTACTGCCCTCGTGTGCCCCCATTGCCGTAGTGTATTTCCGGGAGAACCTATGTTACGTTTACATATGGCGGAAGCTCATGAAATACCGGCGGACATATTTCCGGCAGCGTGTCCATTATGCGTTGCTCGTGGTGATAGGGTTCCTGCGCAAATCTCTAACCCGCTCACTTTTAAACGTCACCGTACAGTGGAGCATTTACGCGATCACCCAGTATTGGTTTATCGAGAGTAGCATGCTATTTTCTATTGTTTGTTCTTCGCTTGGCAGGGGAGTACTTATTGTCAACTTCGGACGCCTGGAGCGCTTGAGAGCGACTGCGGATAACTGTTCCTGACGTGTACCATGTTGGTTTGCCTGTGTGGTGAGAGACGAGGGAATGCAGTCCTGTTCACGCTTACGTTCGTGTAACACAGCTGTGCATGGCCGCGAAGTGTTGGGCTGGCCGAGCTCTCACGGTAGTGCTCTGCGCGCGATGGCGCGTGGTGACAGAAGAGACGGGGACAGGGACCGCGGGCACGACGGCAGGGAGGAGAGGGGGAGGACTACCAGGTCAGAGGCACGTGCGGAGGACCTCGACTCTCTCAGAACCCAAGTGGAGAAGGTTGAAGCCAAGCTCACACGCACTTCGCACTTAGCACTCCAAGCAAGCAAAGACTCCGGCGAAGTGCGCTCAGCCCACCAGCTCGTGCTGTTTGTCAAGGGGCTAGTCCGTGAGCGCCTCAAAGAAGTCGTCGCTCTTTACCAGAGCGAACGCGACGCGGTAGTACAAGGACTCAAGGAGAAAGGCGCTCCACTCAAAGTACGACTCTACGACGCTCTTCTCAAGAAGCTCCAGGAGTTCGCTGCAACAGAAGCAGACTCGGTAGCAAAAGAGCTCTTGGAGCTGGGAGCCAGCTCGGTCCTCAGCTCCGTGACTAACGGGGCCAAGCCTCCAGAGGGCGACGTCCCCTGGGTCCTCGTGCTTACCTTCAGCTACTCGGAGCTGGGTCAAAAGGCCAAGCGGCTTTGGTGCAGTGCAAACCTACGCCCGTGTTTCGCCAAGACAGGAGGTGGTTGGCCGGAGCTGGGTGTGAGAGAGGGTAGTTGTGCGAGAAATCCTGTAGGAATCCCTTAACCCAACACCCAAGGGCTTGAGCTAGGCTACCCCTTGCGTTTGCATGTACAGTTTTCACGCTTAACCACTGCGCACCGCAGCCCTTTGTGGTCTCAAAAAGAGGGCGTGCCTACGTTGAGCCCCGTAGGTGCCCGCAGGTAGAGACCCCGCCTTTTTAGGCTTCGCATGGTAGCGGAGCGCTGCTGAGCACAGGGCCAGCAACTCCGGACAGCGGGCAGCCCCGCGAGTTCCTGACTCGAGGTTCTCGTGGTCGGCTGCGGGCACCGCGGGACCTTAAAACCCGGAAGCGCTAGGCTGGAGGCTTAGCGCGGGCAATCCCGCCGAGAGCGAGGACTTCCCTCTACCGGCACCTGGGCCGAGAAACCAGGGAAGGAAGCCGAGGCTGTTTGCCCGAGCGCCCTCCACTTTTAGGTTTGTGGAACAGCCCTCTTTCGTCGCCACGTCCGGTTGGGGACGCGACCAAGAGGGTTGGAATCGAGACCGGCAGAACTGGTGGGTCGAGCCCACCGAGGAGAGCCAGCACTGGGACTGGCAAGAGCAAGCCTGGGAAGAGGGTCCCTTCACACCCGGCGTACCGGCACCAGGGCGAGGCGCACAGCCAAAGCCCTACCGGAACAAGGGTGAGCGGGCACCCCCGCCGGCGGCTCCTGCAGAAGCGTCGGCCACAGAAGAACAGGCCAACCCGCCCGCCAAGGCGGAGCGGGAGGACCCGCCGCACGAAGCGGCAGCGCCGGAGCCCGCCGGTGAGCCTACGGCCGAACCGGTCGAGGCGAGTTACCACGTAGTCCCAGATAGAAGAACAGCCGCAAGCACCAGCGGCAGAGGCATCCCAGCAGTGGGTGTTTGTACGGGACCTGCTCGAAGAAGGGCAGGTGATCCCAGCGGGCAGCCCCGCGGAAGGAGCCACCGCCACACCGGCACCTTCCACGGGAGCGGGCCGACCCGCCGAGGAGGCGGGCACTGCCAACCAGTCCCTCGCGAACTCCACGGTCGAGAGCCTCCACCAGCCAGGGGAGGAAAGCGAGGACGATGGCAGCACAACAGAGTCCAGCCACGGGACTCACAGAAGCAGAGGTGACGCGTCAGCTGACGCAGCTCACCGCCGCCCTTCAGAGGGCGGAAAGTAGCCACCGCGAGCTCCAGGCAGCCCTGGGCGCTTCCCAAGAAAGGACCCAGAGGCTGGAGCAGCAGCTGTTGCAAATGCAGCAGCAAGCGGGAAGCACCGCTACCGCGGGAGGACCCGCCAGCAGCGCGGCGCCACCGGCGGTAGGAGGTAGCTTTTCCGTTTCACCTGTACAGGTAGGTCTCACGACGCAGCTGAAAGGGGTAGACTTGCTAAGCCCCCTAAGCCCCTTAAGAGCCAAGACGAGTGGGAAAGATTTGTGTGGCAGTTGGAAACCTATGCCGCAATGATCGATCCCAGCTTCCCCCAACACTTGGAGGAGGCCCGGAAAGGGTCAGGCGACGACGAAGACGACGCCACCCTGACGACCGAATCCGAGGAGTACCGCATACTTAGTGTAAAGCTTTTCGGGATGCTGGTCAGTTTGGTCAGCGAGTGCCCCGCGGCATTCAAGATTGCGCGCGGGATCCGCCGCCAGGATGGGTTCTTGCTGTGGAAGCAGCTGTGGAAAGAATTTCATCCTGAGCAGGCGAATCGGGGCCTGATCTGGCGCAGGGCGATCCTGAGCCCCAAGTTTCCCCACAAAGAGGCCGACTTCGCGGCAGCGCTCCAGGAATGGGAGAGCGACCTCGCCAAGTACGAGGCAGAGTTCGGGGCCGACAAGGCCATCTTTGAAGAGGACAAGCACGCTGTCTTGATGGTGGAGTCGCCGGGGGCCCTTAAGCAACATCTGGCGATGACGGCCTCGCGCCTGAAACGCTACGAGGAGAGCCGTTCCCACGCATTCGGCCCCAGGCTAAGAGCGACGCCAAGGGGCGAGGCAAGGACGGCTATATCCACCCCGAGTCCAACCACCCGGTGGATAGAAGGGCGGAGGTCCTGCAGGGGATGTTGAACACGCCCCCTATGGTATACCTATCGTGCTTCACCCTTTTTGGCCTGCGCCACCACAGCTGACGGTGAGAGAGCCTCGGACAATGGCATCTGAGTGGGGTGGTCCTGCGAGCTCCCTGTATCAAGAGCCGCATCCGGCCTACCACGGCAATCAGTACATCTACGTGCCCGATGTGAGACCACGGGTGTTGGTGAGATGGCATATGCGGCCGCGTGTGGGATTATTCCATCCGGAACAGACAGCTGCGCCAATTCCTCTCGGTGCCCTTACAGGACAGCGACGCACGCTGCAGGGATTTGCCAATGCGGACAGGGTCATTTGGGATGACCGCTTCACAAATCCAGATCGTGAGAGGTCACATGAAAATCTGTGGAGAGGACGCACAGAGCTGGAAGTAGACCCAGATGAACTGGCGAGACTCCAAGGGAGAAACGAGGACTCCGATTAGCTCTGAGTATGAGCTGCATGAGTGCAAACTGTATTCTGGTTCAATCCGGACAGATTGCAAGGCACACCGCGAATCAGATTATTTTTTGGAAGTGATGGTCTTCCAAACTGCCACTGGGTACAGTTGG